AAGTTAATTGAAACATAGGCGATGTTTTCAAACGGATAATTTTGTTTTCAATAAAAGAAATAAATTAGATAATTTCTGAGCTCAAATCTGCCATATTTCATAAGATACTAATGTTATTATGTAATTCTGATGAGTTTGAAGTGAAAATTTGTTTTAGTTATTTAGAGATATATTGTTAAAAAAGGTGACATGGTTGCTAGATTTTGAATAACTCGTTTTTTTTGGCAGTCTTGATATGGCCTCTTTCCATAAGTTTATTACTGTTTGTTCTTGTTGCAAGCTATGCACCATCTTACGTTAGTGTTAACTCTTTTAGCATTGTAAACACGAGTATTGTGAGCATTGTAAACACAAGTAATAAGAAATCAAATACATTGTTTGCAAGAATCTCAAAGCACAATGATGCCAAATGGCTTTAAAATACAACGGAAACAGTAACCCAGAAATTTAGGCGGTACCGAGCTTGCAGCGTTCCCTAATGTAGAAAACACCAACCGTAAAGTACTTACCTACCATTAATGTATTATAATAAAAGTTTGTAAGACAACGTCAATATAATCTTTTTTCACGGACACATTGGATTAAACCACAATGAATTTTGCAAATCTGACTTCATATTCCTAACTAGAGATCCTCCACAACTAAGGCAGGTTACACACTGAGAAGGCAAGTTGTAAAAATGAAGCATACAGAATGCTAATCCTTATACTTTTGCGTAAGGATGCGCAGAGGTGATGTGCGCATGCCAATGCTTAAGTATGGGAATCTGCCCATCTCCTGTCTCTTTACTTATCGCTTGCATCCTCAGTGTGTGGCCAGCCGAAATATGCAGTTCTTGAAAACACTTGGACTTTAGACCAGCTTTTTGTCGATTGAAACTACTATGCGTAGGTATCTGTCTCTTGAGCACATTTTTTATCCGGCATAGACTATTTAACCTATCCTAAAACTATCCTTAAACTTGAAAACTGGAGGGGAGTTGCCATGGACAGAGGGAGCTGGAGAAAGCGTGCTGTTGAGGCAGCCAAGGCCTGCAAAGGGCTGTTGCGCTCCTGAAGAAGAAGAAGACTATTTAAAAATCAAATCAGCTTGCACATTAACGAACTTTTATATTAAAAAAATGAAATAAAGCAAGCCAGTTTCTGTGACAACCACCAAGAGATGACGGGTACTCACATGTGTAAGTAAAGAATGATGTTTCTTTAAGACTTCAAAAATATTTCAAGTAACTCTTACGTTGAATGAAATGAATACATTTTATATGCTAAATTAATTTGTTATATTTATTTTAATTCAATTCTGTTCAATTTCTGATTTATTTATAGTTGATTGACTTGTTTTTAGGTTGGAGTTTAACTGAATCTCTACCTCCTAAAATGTACCTGTTTTACATGGCTCAGGGTGGATTTTATCTACATTCCATATATGCAACAATATTTATGGATACGTGGAGAAAAGACTCCATTATAATGATAATCCATCATGCATCTACTCTAATACTTATAGTATTTTCATTTGCACTGAGGCAAGTATTTCTAGTATAACTTTGTATAAAATGTACTGTAAGCCAAAAAAAGCGGACCACCCTTAATAACGTTTGATCTAATATTCGGATGTTCACATTCTGGAACAGAATCTTAATGGCTTGAGGGGGTGACCTCAAATACGCTTATTAATAAGTGCAGACGATATTTTAAGTTACGAAGTCAGACACAAAACGTTCTTTCTCTGAATAAACATAACTTTTTTTTCGACGGATTGGAATTTCTGACGTCCAAGGGGGTAGCCGCAATCAGGGAAATATCGTCTCAACCGTTTGGTCAGGTGCGCGCTCCAAAGTAATGTTAATTTTGTTTTTTGCATAAATCAAAAAATTTTGAGAAAAATCGGACGAATTGTCCTTGTGAAATCGAAGTTTAAACATGACTTTTTTTGAAATTCAATTTCTCAGTAACTATTCATATTTTACCATGTAAAATTATATTCTTTAAAATGATGCAAGAAATTGCATACCTTACAATTGAATATTTTTTTCGACCATTATTAAATAAAATAATAAAAAATAATATAAATTTATTAAAAGTTATTTTTTGCATGAAATTATCCTTGGATAAACGAACTTTATAAAAAATTTTAATAGGCTTAAAAAGTTCTCGAGATATGGCGAATTACGCAAAAAGTAATATTAACGTTAAACTGCTCAAACTTTGGAGCCCGATCCAGACCGAACTATTGGGACCATATTTCCCAGACTGCTGCTACCCTCGATATTTTGGGGGTCAGAAATTCGAATTAGTCGAAAAAAAGGTATGTTTATTCTGTAAAAGTATGTTGTGTCTGATTTCATAACTTCAAATATCGTCTGCACTTTATTAATTAGCATATTTGAGATTATCCCCTTGAGCCATTAAGATTAAGCCCCAGAACGTGAAGAGCCGATCATTAGATCAAAAGTTATTCTGGGTGGTCGTTTTTTTCTCCTGTTACTCACTTTACAAAGACAAAATCAATATTTTCGAAAAAATTTTAAAACCAACATGCTTTTTTTAATAAACGGAACATAGTAAAAACATTCACATAGTAAAACATTTAATTCTTAGTTTTTAAGTTAAAACTGCCTTTTCGTTTTTATAAATTTCGTAGTTGTTCCGGGTTGTGAAGAAGACACTTGATATGTATTCGTGGAATGCTTATCCAAGTAGAAAAGAAGGGGGGGCGGGTTGCCAGCAAGGAAAAAGCTATCGAATTCCGACAAATCGTAGAACAGGATTTAATTAACATCAAAACAGGTTTAATTGGAAGCTGAAACTTGAAGATATTTCTTTCAACTACTTTTCGTTTCCTCTCGGGAGCAATCCTGTCTTGTTGCTCATTATATACTCCTTCCTACACTGAGAAAAACAGTATGATCAAAACTGCCAGAATATGGTAAATTTTACCATGTTTCTGGATTTAAGGGAACATGAAAGAGCTTGATAGTTTTAACCGAAGCCCTTTAGTAATGATAAGTTTTGATAAAATTAATAATTAAATATGGTTTTGGAAAATGTAATGAACATTTTGGTAAATATGATTAAAATTGGTAATTTTTATCATGATAACTTAAAGCGTGGCATAAAAAGCATTTATTCGGTGAAATTTACTTTTCAGTTTTGTATATTTTACTAAATGTATGATAATAAGATCTATAATTTCAAAAACGAAATTTTCCGGTAAGCCGTTACGATATGTGCGGAAAAATTAGCAAATGAATGTTTTAAATAGCGTATATTTTGGTTTTATTAACCATTATTAGTTTTTTTATACCAAAAATGTAAAAACCGTAAAATAAAGTAATTTTGCTAGAATTTTTTTCTCCGTGCCTGCTGTGATTTATCAGATTTACAGTTTTCGTTCTTTCTTGTTTCAACAGTAATTTTTTACCCCGAATATGTATGCTTTTTTCGCTTGCATGTTTCATAAGGATTCTAAAAATACATATTAAGGGTGGTCTTCACCGAACACCCTGTATGTTTAATAATATAACGTAATTTAACTAAGGAGAAAATTTTCGATTTATTTGCAAAACAAAATTCTACTTCAAGGATAATAGAAAGTTATTTATTTTCCAATCGTAGAAAAATTTGTTTCGTGTCTTTTATAAAAATGCGATCCCCGTCATTTAACTTAATAAAATTTGAATCCAACTAGATTGCCTTGTTAAACAATGAATTAACGTATTTTTATAATGAAATTTTAGCAACCAAATAATTATATAAGTTATTTTAGCAACCAAATAATAATTATAGCAGTTAAAATTTGTAATAAGATTTACGGGCTACTACTTTCGGTTTACTTTTATGTCGAAGATTTGAAACGCGCCATACTATAATGATAATCAACTAGGACTGTTTGCAATATAAATAATTTACCATTCAATTTATATATTTATTTAGCTTTAGTATAAAACATTAAAAAAAAAAATGAAGGAAACACTCAAAATTTGCAAACATTACACTTATTTAATGTCGTGATAATTATTTCCCTCGATCAATTTATGGCTCTTGACATTTTGTATACGTAAAATGTAAAAAAACAGAAGAAAAAAACTCATGTATAATAAAATTGGGAGAAAATTTAAATACAATTTCAATAATAAAACTTCCTAGAATATCAAACGTGTTCGAACATCGTGTAAACTTAGCAAAAAGTAGAGGGATCCACCGAAATTTTTAAGAATCCGTTCCGCCTTTAAACTTTTGTTATTGTTTATTTTCATTTAACCATCCATTAGTTCTACCATAAGTCATGGTTTTAAAAAAAATTGTGTAGTTGTGTAAAGTTCGTAATTTAATGAATTTTGTTTATTTGTATTGCTGATCATATTTAAGCTAACAAGGGAAACTAGGGAAGTGTGACTCGCCAATTTTGAAATGAACTACTAGGATGTATGCCTTATGAGGAATAATTTTAGGGGGCAACATTCGTTTCGGCCCATAGAAGGTCCTGTGAGAGATAAAAAATAATTCAACATATAGAAAAATCAGTATTTTATTGCTTCAATGCAGACTATTAGTTAATGTAATTGCCTCAAAATCCAATTAATTTTGTGGTACTTTCACGTACTATATAATGCATATTTATTGTCAAAATTGAATTCGAAAATTTTATATATCTGCAGTTTTTCGGAAAAACCTGTTAGGTTAATTTTAAAAAAAAAATTGACATCAAATTTTTTCAATTTTTTTTTTCAAAAAACTTTCTAAATTGACTGGAGCATGTAATTGCAAATCAATTAATAATTAATTAACAATTAATTAATAATTAATTGATAATTAATTCATGATTAATTAATTTTCTGATTAATTTATTAGTTAGAAAAATAAGAAATTATCAAATTAATTACAAGTTAATTGGATTATGAGACAATTACAATAACTAATAGTCTGCATTGAAGTAATAAAATACTGATTTTTCTATATATAGAATTATTTTTTATCTCTCACAGGACCCTCTATGGGCCGAAACGAATGTTGCCCCCTAAAATTATTCCTCATAAGGCATACATCCCACTAGCTTATTTCAAAATTGGCGAGTCACACTTCCCTAGTTTCCCTTGTAAGTGTATGTTATTAATAAAACTTTCAATCAATTAAAAAAAAACCCATTTAGTCAAGAATTTTTAAGATCACGAAATAATTTTTCGATTCAACTTGATAATTTCGATCAACCTTTTTTAAATGTTCTATTTAAATAATTCGACTTTCGCAAACCTTATAATTTTTGTCAATTAATGTTTTTTTTTCTAATGATTTAATACCCTGTTAATTACAAATCAATTTTTACTTTTTAAAGTACGTACAACTTTTTCGTGTATTTCCATGAAATCCATTATAGTTTTTGATAATCCATCATGTTTAGAATATTAGCCATAAACTAAACTATACTTTTTTTTACATCTTCGAAAATTTGTTGATTGATTTTAACTTTAAAAGAAACTTAAACTAAAATATTTCTTAGGTCAAAATTGCTTTGAGGAGTTCTTTTTATCTTTTTTTTTTAAAGTATATATTTTTAAAGTATATTCCTTTCAAAAAATATTATCACTTATTTTTTTTTCTTTCGTTTTTTTTCAGGTGTCATAACATTGGTTGCTTTGTTCTTTTTCTTCATGATATTTGTGATATTTTTCTTGAATTTTCCAAATTGAATGTATATTTCAAAAGTCAAGGTGACAAAATTGTCAAGATGCATGAATGGCTCGCCAATATCGCATTTCTGAGTTTCACTGTAGTATGGTAATGTATTATGTATTCACTGTGATATCTTTACCTTTAATGTTAAATGCAAGAAATGTTAAATTTTGTTCTTTTCATATTTATTTGATTTAATAGCCTAGTTTATTTTCAGGTTCAAAAAGAATTTATTCGAATAATTAATAAACTGCTTACGCATTTTTATTTTTATCTTTTAGTTATTGTGTCAAAGAGGAAGAAGTTGTAGAAATTTTTATTTTAATTAACTGTTTTCAATTTTATNCAGGTTTTGCATCAAAGAAAATATTTATTCAAATACAAAGATAATCGCGTATGTTGCTCGTTTTTATTTTATTTTTTTGTATTTTGTGAATATAATTTAGCATGTGCGTATCAGAAATTTTCTCGAAGAAATTTTCCGATTTAACTTTTTGAAACCACTCATTTTGGGCGAAAATATTTACACACACTTTTAAATTTTTAATTTAAAATGTAAATATCTATTCTCTGGTAGTTGCAGCAGACAAACCTCAATTTTCTCATTGAATATTTTGTGTGCTACTATGTAAATTTTATTACCAACCTTTCTAAAGTTTTATATCTTAACAATTGGATATCTGTTGCACATTACATACATAGGTGCACATTAAAATTATTGTAGCCCGAAATTTTATAATTTATTTAATATTTTTAAAAATATTGTTAATAACAATTAAATATTTTTTTAAAAATCTACATCTTATTTTAATTTACAATTCAATACTTTTGTTTTGTATAGCTTGGTAAAAATCTGCCATTAATATTTAATGTCTCTTCAAACATAGAAGAGTCCTACATAAAATGAAGATAAAGTTGCGGCCCGCCATTTGATTTGTGTTTTTAATTGTGGCCCCCGGCCTCATGTAAGTTGGAAACCCCTGTTATAGAATAACCAGTAAACTTAACATAAATCAGAGCGATGCACCGAAATTTTTAATGAATTTTGTTTATTTGAATTGTTGATCATATTTAATGTATGCTTTTAATACAACTTTTAATCAATTAAAAAAAAATCCCTATTTAGTCGAGAATTTCTAAGATCACGAAATAATATTTCTATTCAACTTGGTCATTCCGATCAACCCAACTATGTATTTATACTGTTTTATAATATTTGTAATTAATATATTTTGCAATCAAATTTACCTTTTTTCTATTTAAATAATTTGAATCTCGCAAACCTTATAATTTTTGTCAATTAATGTTTTTTTTTCTAATTATTTAACACCTGTTAATTACAAATCAATTTTTAGTTCTTCCTTTTTAAAGTACGTACATTTTCTTCGTGTATTTTCATGAAATCCATTATAGTTTTTGATAATCCATCATGTTTCGAATATAAGCCATGAACTAAACTATATTTTTTTTGCATCGTCGAAAATTTGTTGATTGATTTTAACTTTTAAAGAAACTAAACTAAAATATTTCTTAGGTCAAAATTGTTTTGAAGAGTTCTTTTTATCTTTTTTTTAAAGTATATATATTTAAAGTATATATTTTTAAAGTATATTTCTTTCAAAAAAATATTATCACTTATCAGTTTTTTTCTCGTTTTTTCAGGTGTCATAACATTGGTTGCTTTGTTCTTTTTCTTCATGATATTTGTGATATTTTTCTTGAATTTTCCAAATTGAATGTATATTTCAAAAGTCAAGGTGACAAAATTGTCAAGATGCATGAATGGCTCGCCAATATCGCATTTCTGAGTTTCACTGTAGTATGGTAATGTATTATGTATTCACTGTGATATCTTTACCTTTAATGTTAAATGCAAGAAATGTTAAATTTTGTTCTTTTCAAATTTATTTAAATTAAAAGCCTAGTTTATTTTCAGGTTCAAAAAGAATTAACTCGAATAATTAATAATGCTTACGCATTTTAATTTTTATCTTTTAGTTATTGTGCCAAAGAGGAGGAAGTTGTAGAAATTTTTATTTTAATTAACTGTTTTCAATTTTATTTTTTTAAACATCTCAAAAGTGCCATCTTGAAGTGAATTACCTCATAGAAAAAAGAAGAAAAAATACTAATTTAATTTATAAAAGAACAAAAATCAATTTCTTTTAATGATTGTCTGAAAATAATCGTCGTTTTGTAAAAAAAGCAATTGAAATTTTTTTTAAGGAGATAGAAATGTATGATTTACTGCATTCTGTTTGAAAAAGTAGGGATTTATTCGCATCAGGTTTCAAATTTAATAACAAAGTTCATCAACAGATGACGCTGCAAACTGATATAAACTATCTATAAGCAATTTTTCAAAATGAAAATTTATTGCAACAAGGTAGAGCAGTCTGAAAAAAATATTATACATGCCTGTGCAAATATTTTAGTCATAATAATTAATTTCATAAATCGTTGAGAATGCATTCTCTTCTTGTTAAGCAGAACGCAGGAAACCATACATTTCTATCACACTTATGCTTTTTTTAAAGTAGTTATTCAAATCATTAGACATTTTTGGGAAGACCGGTGTTTTTCTGCACTGTTTAAAAACTTAGTAAAGAGCAAAAGATAAGTATAAAGTTTAAAACAGACATTAACGTTGACCATTTATAAACAGAATTTGATTATTTACATTGAAACAATGTTTTAATTGATTTAAAAATACTTAAAATTAACATATATCTGTATATTGCAGGTACATTTCTCGGTTATATTGGTATCCACTCAGAGTTCTTTATACCGGGATATCCGATATTAACGGATTGCAATCAGTATTACCTTGTTCATTGCTCATGAATGGCTTATTGTGGATTTTGCAAATTTTAAATGTTTATTGGTTTTATGTAAGTAGAATTTCAATTACTTATATCTATTAGAAACAAACTGTCTAATTTATTATGATAATTCCTTTTTAAAATAAATCTTTCATTGAGAATTTGTCTATTACAAAAACTGTGTAACAGTTTTAGCTAATAAAGATACTATAACAAAATGAGCATGAGCGTTCAAAATAAAAGTTCACAAAAAAGATACCTAGTACTAGTGTTAATTTACATGACTTTAATTTAGCTCATTTTTATTTCTTAAACATTTCAGTTGAAATTTTAATACATATGTTTATTGATTTTTTTAAAAGAGAAGAAAAAATAAATTTTTTTTTAAATTTATGATTTGTTTTTAATTTTAAATTTTGTTTTTAGCAAGGCATTTCAAACATGAGGAAGTTGAGATTTTTAAACAAATGTTTTTATCAACTGTTTTCAATTTGAATAATGTAGAATTTAAGTATATTTCATAGTTTGTTTTATTACTTTATTAAAAAATTTTATTCGAAATTCTACATGTTTTTTATATGCTCAGTAATAAAGAAAATCAATACTTACAGCTTTTACTTCGAATAAAAAAAATCTTAATGTGTCTTCATAAATCTGAACGTACTGTCAAATTAAAATGTGGGTAATTATTTTTAAGCAATTAAGCAAGGTAATTATTTTAAAATTATAATAAATAAGCTCTAATCAATATTTTAAGTATTGATGGAACACAATTTCATTCAACTGGATGCTCCGGATAGTTTGAAAGTAACCCATAATGGGTACTTTCAAGTTAATTTAGTATAATGAAAATCTAATTTTTCCAAACATTTTTGATGGTTTCTAGATTTCTTTTGTGAATAGTTGCAGCAATATTGGACTTTTATGATTTGCATTGTTTGTGGATTACTCGCATTATATCTAGCTTTAATGGAACCTCACAAGAGAGTGTAAATGTGTCAAATCATATCAAATGCCATTAAAAAAAATTGATTATACAATTATTGAATTTAGTTCGAAAACACTTGTTTGGTTGATGGCTGCTGTGATGTTTTAATATCTCTTTCTAATTCTGAGTTAATTTTCAAATGATAAGGTGGGTTATTTCAAAAAAATATTTTAAAATTATCTTAAATCAATAGTTTAAGTATTGAAGGAATACAATTTCATTCATATGGTTGCTCCGGTAAACCTGAAAGTTGCCCATAATAGGTACTGTAAAGTTAATTCAGTGTGGAAGGGATAGCCTGGTCGGTAGGGCGCTGGGCCCATGTCCGAGAGTTCGTGGATTCGAACCCTGCCAGGAGAAGACTCCCCGTGTAGTAAATGGTGACTGATGCACGTTAAATCTGTCGAGTCGCAAAAGTCCTCCATGTTCCCATATCAAATCAGTACCTCTGGGGGTACTGGATTGGAGACCGATCGTTCTCTGCTTTAGGTCAAAGCTACGATCTGTGGATGAATGAATGGATGTATGAACGGGTCCGCCCTATAAACGGGTGTGAATGGTGCGGCTGAAGTCAAATTCTTGACCATAGATGGAGCCACTGGAAAATTGTTGACGTTGTTGTTGACGTATGCCTCTGCCTAGACAGGCATACGTCAACAACAAGTTGATTCAGTTTAATGTGAATTTACTTTTTCCGCACGTTTTCGATAGTTTCTAGATTACATTTGTGTATGTTTTGTGGGTTTCTAGGTCACTTTGCTGCAGCAATATTGGGCTTAATAACATGCAAAGTTTGTGGATTACTCGCATCGTATCCATGTTTCACAGAATCTCTTAGGAAAAAGCCTAATGGCGACAAATTGCATCGATTGACATTAAAATACGATTGATCATACGGTTATGAAATTCAGTTAGCAAAAATTTTATTTCTTTTTGATAGTTGCAGAACAATTAAACTACATTGCCTGGCGGAACTCATAAAATGTTTCATTCACCAACCCTTATTATTGCAACCTAATCAATTTTGTTTTTAGGGTTAAACCGATTGTTACATCAAAATTATAAAGTATTCAATTGAAATATCTTAAGATGTTTTATTGTACGTAAAAACTAAGATTCGGTTTCCCACATTCAGTTCTCTGATTCTAATGGGATAAAATGTAAACCTAATTATTTTATTCGGTTACCAATACAATTTCATCAACCGTTCTATTTCTTTGAATTTCTGTTTAATTCTTTTTAGTAACAATAAAAACAGTTTTTTTTAACAGTGATTATTTAGTAGCGGTGCATAACTTTAATGAGTAATATTATTTTACAATTTCATATTCTTCATTTTAGTAACATCTGTTGATTGGACATTTAAATATGCTTACATTAGGTATGATTTTAAATATACCTATTAAGGTAATATCTAAGGATTTGTCTTATAAATAAGCCAGTTTTTTAAGCTTTTAATTTCGAATAATAGTCAAAATATAAAACGCATTATTATTTAAATCACAATAGAATATCGCAAAGAAAGATAAGTGAATATTGCAAGTAAACATTTATAAACTTACCGCCTTTGGTGACCAGAGTGTTTATCTTACAAAATCATCTTGTATGATATATAAACTTTAATGATAACCAAAACGAATGCCCACCACAAATATATTTTAATATTCTATTTTCTCAAACCCTCATCCATTCCTTACACCTTAATTAGTTTTAAACTATATATTAACCAAATTTTTTCATCGTCTAGCAGTTTCTTGACAAGGAAGTACTTTGATTTCAATTTTAAATATTTTCAAGAGATGTACGCGGTATTATCTGACGTAAAACTTTCCTCAGTGGTAGATGGATCATGGTTTAGTCCCTTGCCGGTAGACTAACCGTGGGAGGTTTTTGTGTTTTTCCTCGCCATGTAACGAATTTACGGGATAATTCAATCAAAAAATTCTCCACGACGTCAAATCTCACTCAATACTTAATCCAGTAATTCCTTTGTCTTCTAGAAACAAAATTACGGGACTACGGAGTTTAGCTTAAGTGGTCGTAAACTCAAAATTTGAATCGGCTGCTTGACGACGGTTATAAAATAAAATGAAATATTCATACATTACCTAAATTAACTAAGCATAAAAGGCGTCAATAATAGTATGACGAGTTTTTACATTTCTCCTCTGTGAATTAATACCACTTTCGAATTAATTTTGCCTTTGAATACCTAACTAATTTTTTTTTCCATTTCAATTATGTACTATTAATTTTAAATAAATTTTTTTGAAACAAGTTTTTAAAAGAATAAATATTAAAAAAACGGGTATCAGATAACTTTAAAAATATAAATTTGTTGACGTTGTCAATGCGTGCTACAACACTCTTTCTCAAATAAAGCTATAAGCTACGAATATCACTGATGTTATCTTTAAAATAAGTGATTTATTGAATCGTCTACATATAAATTTAAAACAATGGCTACGCTTAACCAATCAGAAAATTCCAATTTATTTCTTGTTCATCCCGCTCTAACCGCTTGTCATAGAATGTTTTAATACCGACGGTGACCTTTCTCATGCTTTAAACTATCTGCATTGCCAAATTTCATTTCTTTCAGTTAGATGGTTTAGGAGTCTATAAAAGACACACATACAGATATTCCTTTTTATACACATAGATAAGGCATAAAGAAATGTTTTACATGGTAAAAAATACCTTTATTACTTTAATTAATTTAATGATGAGAACAACCAAAAGAGTTTGATCTTCTGTGTTAAGTAAGGAACCATACCGTATGAATTTTTAGCTAAAAAATAGAAACTATAAACCATTATGTTTAGATATTTGCTAAACGTAAAAAAAAGATATGCAATACATATAGATGTATATTAATACAAAAGAAACTGATTGTGCCGAAACAATTACCAATTTACAAAACACCAACGTCAACCACAAAACGTCAGTGTGTGTCATCGTATACTCAGATTATCTTGAAATATATCTTTCCAGTGATAAGCACTTAGCTGCTTAATTTCTCTCTTATCTGTAGTCTTAGTTGTGTTTTACATGATCTTATTTTGCTTTTAAATGATATTGTTTCAATACAATTATTTACTGTGTCAGTGCAGATGCACTTGGTCGTAAATGTTCGCGCAAAGATTTAAAATAAATTTATTGATTTTTCTAATCTCATGGTAACGTAAGAGATGCGATTATAGCAAGTGTTTTATATATTATGTAACCAGTAAATTTATTTTCTATAACCACTAATAGTTAACAGAAGATAAAATGTGAAAACACATTTTTATAAATTGTAAAATTATATTTGTAATTTTGCACAAACATTTGTGCATTTGAAACCCGTATCATTAGAAATCTTATAGTATCTGAATACAATATATACTTTAATACAAAATGCATCATAATATTTTATTGAAAATGTATCTACATTTTTTAGAAAAAAAAATTTTTAATGCAAACATAATCAATATTTGTCCAATTGTATGCAAAATAGAATAATTTTTTTAATTTAAATTTGAAATATTGTAAAACGATTACAAAATTGCTTAGTTTATGGAAGTGTTTACATAAGAATTGTTATTTTTCTCCCTTAAGAGCGTCCCATCCTATGAGCGGGTGTGACGTATGGGTGTGGCAGAAGTCGAATTCTTGGCCAAAGATGGCGCCACTGGAAAACGAGAACAATCGCACCCCTCTGCCTAAACAGGCATACGGGTCAACAACAATAAAATAAATCATATCAGAACTGATAAAAATTATGTAAAATTTAAAATTTTTAACATTAATAGTAAAGAAAGTGTAAGAATATAGTACATCTATTTTAAAAACAGATAAAATATTTTAAAAAGTAGCATCTATTTTAAAAACAAATACTTTCTTCAAACAAATAATGTAAATTAAATTTATTAAAATATTGTTCGAAGTTTGGACAAGGGGTGTGTAACATTAAATTTTTTTTTCTTTCTTTTTGACACAGTAAGCTTTAGGGAATTAAACGATATTGGACTGGAGCAATTTTTTCTTAATTCTTTTTCAAAGTCATATATGAACGTTTTCGGAAATATTTAAACAGGTAACAATTTTGAATGTAACCATTGTGACCATTTGCGACTCTATTGGGACTCACATATTTAATTGTAAGAGATTAGTCTCATAAAAGTAAGTGCTTATAAGACTTGTAAATAATGTAAATGACAGTTCTGTATAGAATGGTATCATAACTTTAGTGAGACACTTCGCATAAACGTATACACGTGACTTTAATGAAACAAATTCAATAAAAAATAAATATGAGAACGAAATGAGATAAGTCTCAAAAAATGTTCCTCGAACTTTAGTAAGATAAGTCATGAAATGATTTCCATGTCACTTTCAAGGGATCAAAGAGGCAACATATTTTCTGAGTGATTTTAGAGACTTTTACGTGACATCACAAGAAAGAGTAACACTGAAATCGCATTATGAGGTACTCCTATTGAGACAATTAAAAACAGTAACACCTGTGACTGCCATGACCGTTTTTGACTTTACTATGACGTCACTGTGTCAATCTGTGTTACCTGGGTAAAGACCCACTAATTGAAAACATAAAACATTAGAGTGCTAAAGGAAACATACCAATCTGGATCAAAGCACATATTGAACATGAAGACAACGAAGAAGTGAATTTTGCTCCCAAACATGGGACGTGGATCGACCTTGTAGACTTTATCATTCCTTTCAGGAAGACTCAAATTAAGTCACTATGAATATTTGGAAGGAGAAATGGAGGGTCAATAGAAGGATAGACAACCGCAAATATTTTTCAAGGGTCCTAATCTTAAGATCCTGAAGGCCAATTTTTACCCCAACCAATTCCTTACAGGCCATGGAGTTTTAGAGCATACCAACTTAAATTTTTCAGAAAATTTGCTGGGTGAGTTATACAGGAGNAATTTTGAATGTAACCATTGTGACCATTTGCGACTCTATTGGGACTCACATATTTAATTGTAAGAGATTAGTCTCATAAAAGTAAGTGCTTGTAAGACTTGTAAATAATGTAAATGATTGTTCTGTACAGACTGGTATCATAACTTTAGTGAGACGCGTCGCATAAACACGTCACTTTATAATGAAACAAATTCAATAAAAAATAAATATGAAAACGAAATGAGATAAGTCGCAAAAAATACTCCTGGAACTTTAGTAAGATAAGTCATGAAATAGTAAGATAAGTCCATGTGACTTTCAAGGCATTAAAGTGGAAACATAATTCCTAAGTGATTTTAGAAACTTTAACGTGATATCTAAAGACAGAGTAACATCGAAGTCTCATTATGAGTTACTCCTTGAGATAATTCAAAACAGTAACATCTGTGACTGCTATGACCGTATTTTACTTTACTATGACGTCACTGTGTCAATTTGTGTTATCTGGGTAAAGACCCACTAATTGAAAACATAAAACATTTGAGCGCCATAGGAAACATACCAATCTGGATCAAAGCACATATTGAACATGAAGACTACGAAGAAGCGAATTTTGCACCCAAACATGAGACGTGGATCGGCATTGTAGACTTTATCATTCCTTTCAGCAAAACTCAAATTAAGTCACTATGAATATTTGGAAGGTGAAATGGAGGGTCAATAGAACGATATACAACCGCAGATATTTTTCAAGGGTCCTAATCTTAAGCTCCTGAAGGCCAATTTTTACCTCAACCAATTCCTTACAGGCAATGGAACATACCAACTGAAATTTTTCAGAAAATCTGCTGCTTGAGCTATGCAGAATGTTGGACATGTTCTGAAGCATTATATTAAGTTTCAGACACTCCGTGTAATAAAGATGACCAACATCAATGGTTTTGTTCTTTAGCCTTTAAGTGAATTATCATCGAATTTATCACCTTAGAAGATTTCATGAGACCAGACGATTCGGCTCTAGTGATTACTGATAGACTTTTAATCATCAATGTTACTTAAATTTTTTCCATTTTAACCCTCAATTTTTACCTTGAACTCTCAACTCTTACAAGGGAAACTAGGGAAGTGTGACTCGCCAATTTTGAAATAAACTAGTGGGATGTATGCCTTATGAGGAATTATTTTAGGGGGCAACATTCGTTTCGGCCCATAGAGGGTCCTGTGAGAGATCAAAAATAATTCCATATATAGAAAAATCGTTCTTTTATTACTTCAATGCAGACTATTAGTTAATGTAATTATCTCATACTCCAATTAATTTTGTGGTACTTCCACGTACTATATAATGCATATTTATTGTCAAAATTATTTCGAAAATTTTATATAGCTGTAGTTTTTCAGAAAAACCTGTAAGGTTAATTTTAAAAAAAAAATTGACATCAAATTTTTAAATTTTTTTTTTCAAAAAATCTTCCAAATTAATTGGAGAACGTAATTGCAAATCAATTAATTAATTAATAATTAATTAATTTGCTAGTTAATTTATTAATTTTCTAATTAATAAATTAACCAATTAATTACAAATTAATTGGAGTATGAGATAATTACAATAACTAGTAGTCTGCATGGAAGTAATAAAATACCGATTTTTCTATATATGGAATTATTTTTTATCTCTCACAGGATGTTCTATGGGCCGAAACGAATGTTGCCCCCTAAAATTATTCCTCATAAGGCATACATCCCACTAGTTTATTTCAAAATAGGCGAGTCACACTTCCCTAGTTTCCCTTGTTAGACTTTTTGAAGCTTTTATCTACGATCTAGATTTGCCTTTTAATTACCTTTGTTATTTTAGTTTTTACTATTGCTTTTGATGCTAATTTTGCATTATTAACTTTTAATTGTTTACATGTTGTCATATTGTATTTAATTAGTTTTACTGCCTCTTTGTGATGCCTCTTGAAATTTTAATTTGCTGTATGATCTTTACACTTGTACTTACATGTAACTATTACTATTCTACTGTTCTGTATTGTTTATTTTTTTTATTGATATCTGTCTCCATATACCCTATACTAAGGGGGAGATTCGGAGTGTAAAACGTTTATTATTTTAGATGCATTGGGAGGTGAGAAACCCGATGACTGGATATCTGCAAGTGACGTCATCGTAGGTAAATCGTGGAATTTGTCGATTCAGAAACCAATAAGGTTCGACATACATGCATAACGTCGCTTTCAGGTATCCAATGAAATCTAACTAAAATCAAATATTTTGTCATAACTACTTCACTTCTTTTCGAGTTGCAAGTATCCAATTCATTTAAAGCTTGGCGACTTCTCTTGTACAAAACCCGTACGTGGAGGAACATTTTGGTTTTGATATATAAATCAGGCATCTTTGGTTTAAACAGATTTACTCAGTTTCATCTAAAGGATGGAAAACTCGTCCAATGTTAACTTCCACTTTTGAAGAGTTATGCTATTAGAAAGATTGGTCTGCTTTAGCCCATATTATCGTTTAAGTAAACTTAATACCGAACTATATTATCCTGTTAAATAACTCTCCTTGAAAATTATTGCACAAACGCATGATTCAACCTGAACTGAAACATATTTTATTCGTAGTAAGATTGAATCTAGCTTGTATCATCATGAGTTTCATCGGAAGTTTCGATTAATTTAGTACTCAATTTGGGCAGTTGCTTTTGATTCTGTTTGCCACACTAATACTTCGCCAAATTTCAAGTCTGTTTTTATTTTTTCCTCAGTTAAATTTTTAATTTGCAACACCTAATATAGATACTCTTTTGACTTTAGTTTTGATACGGTTTCTATAAATGGTCATTAATTTCAGTCATAGAACCGTAATTAATAAGCACCTAGCCTTATAGATTCTCCTCTTTTAATTTCTCTTCATTTTATACCGCAAGCTTATACTTATTACGGTTCAATTTATTAGCTGACGTAATTCTTAAGTGTCTTTGTTAATCTTTTGACAAAGAATTTTCATTAAACGATTTTTCGTACTTTTTTTATTATTTAGCTTCCGTTTTGATCAAAAAAGTGAAAAATACAGTAGTTAGAATTTTAATAATTTATGGTTATGAAATAAGGATAGATTGGAGCAGATATGGACAAATATGTCACTTTGCAAATATAGGCTGGCGGCTTACTTCTTAACGTAATTTTTCAAATTTGCACTTATTTTCAGTTATTTGTAATTAAGAAAAACATTAATTCCTCTTGAAATTTCTTTAATTTACGAAATCAAATATTTATATATTTTTGAATATGACTGGAAAAAAGTCAAACTACTTTTTTGTATTTTATATTTTAGTATACAAATATAATTCCGTTAATCTAAGATTTTTTGATAGTTATTAGACTGTTTTTATTATTAAAAATTGCCAAAATAAATTTCTATTTGTAATTAGAGAGTTCGAAAAAATATTTAAAAGTAAATGCAAGCTGTGCCTCATCTGAGCCAAAAGTTACATGATTATATGTAAAAACAGCAATTAAAGAAACTCTTGGACATTATTTTTTTATAAACGATGTTTAAGTATTTTTTATTATTTTTTAGATATTGTTTCATTTAAGCTTGCTATTATACTATACATTTTTCTCATCTTTTTCAGCTTATCCTTCAAACACTCTACAGAGTGGTCACTGGTCAATTAGCTGAAGACGCAAGAGAATATGATGTAATGGAAAAGCTAAACCAAAAAGAGGATAAAAAGCTCTCTTAGTTTTTTGAAGTTAATTAGTTAATAAGGTAAGTTAATAAGAAGTTAAATAGCTAAGGGTAGAATAAATTTGAAATATGATTAAAATGAAATTTCATAATAATTTAGTGTTATAATTTTGTCTATTCTAGAATTAATTATTATTAAGAAATTTTTTTTCAAGAAATCTTCAATTAATCTTTTTAAATGATGTTCCTTTTCTGTAAATCTTTTTCTTAATTTATTATTCCAATTGAAACGCTCTTTCTGACTCTTTAATATTCAGATGGGATTGAACGAAACGAAACAATAACGAAATTAAAAAATGCCTGCTTGAAACAAATATTAATTTCATACAATTTATTACGTTAAAACCTAAATTAATTTGATGCTAAGTTAAAATTTTGAAGCAAATCTGATACCTTCTTTTGTAGTTATCTTGTCTAATGCATTTAAATGCTTCCAAAAGGAAAATATACGAACATATTGTATCATTTCACGTAACATTACCAATTGATTCCAAAAAAAATATGAAATTGTGAAATGGTCTCCAAGGCGTGTGAGTGTGTGTATATATATATATATATATATATATATATATNTACAGGGTCAGCTTAAAGGAATAGTATCTGTGGACAAATCGGAGGATCTCATAGCGGGGATTGTCGTTGCTTCCTTCGTCCAAATGGATTTGGTAGTTAGCAAATTTGAAGTTTGATTTCATGGTAAATATTTGACACACACACATATATATATATATATATATATATATGTGTGTGTGTCAAATATTTACCATGAAATCAAACTTCAAATTTGCTAACTACCAAATCCATTTGGACGAAGGAAGCAACGACAATCCCCGCTATGAGATCCTCCGATTTGTCCACAGATACTATTCCTTTAAGCTGACCCTGTATGAGAAAGTCACACGAATAGAGATATGAAAAGTTACCAGTGAAAGTAGAGATCATGCAATGGGACACTTCAATCCAATCCAATCCCTCTCCTTGGGAGCATATCGAGGGCAGGGGCCTTTATTATGCAAGGACCACACGCAGTATGGCATTTTACATTCCAACAGTTGGGAGTAAGAGGTTTCAGCACTGTCGATTGAGTAACAAATGATCCTACAGTCAAAGGGGGCTAAGAAACTGGTATCGCAGAAGTCACAAGGTCAAGCCTCGAAAAAAGTAAAGATCTTCTGCGATTCAAAGGCATCTAAGTATTTTAGTTATATAGTATGCTAACGATTAATTTTGGAAAGATAAAAACCTCAACTGACATCCGTCTTTAATTTTCTCAAGATCGGGAGCCTATATATACGTTTTTTGACCTTGTCAACAGGCATTTTGGAATGTTTTCTATTTTTTCTGCATTTTACTTAAAAAGTAAAATTACAACGTCATCAATTAAAATTTTAGCTTCTCTTTTCATAATTTTTTTTTCCAATTCAAACTATTAAAACAGTAATATATAATAGTAAAATAAATAAAAAAATTAAATAGTATCAGAATATTTAAAAAAAGTTACTCTTGATAGCATTTTTACCGAAAAATAAAGATTTTGTTTTTTTATTTTAGGTATGCTCAGTAAAAGAAAATTATAAAAATTTGGGTAACTGCAACCGCTAGTTCGGGTTCATTCCAGTAATGGCGATGGATGTTTTGTCATATTTTACAGCTTCTTTCTCATAGGCTGTGTTTGTAACTTGATTTTAACAAATGTTTAATGTATGTTTTAAATCCGAACATGCTGTGTAAGTATTGTATAAAACATTTTGTAACTTCTTAAGAAAATTAAATTAAGTTTAATGTGTAATTATTACATTTTTACAATTTGAAATTGTGATTTTCACTTTTTCCCTTTGTGGAGAGTATTTCAAATATTACTGCCTTCTTACATTTAAATGTTTGGGGAACATGATCAAATTTCTTTATATTGAAATACTTTATTTTGTAATTTACCTGTAACTTTGAAGTATTATAAATGTATCTAAATCAAATTTATTATAGAACATTAGTTAAAATCTTGATTCTAAAATTTTGTGTAAGATTTTCAAGTTTAAATGTTCAGAATATCAAATAACTATGGTGGTGATTTTCCTCAATTACGCAATTATTATTATTGTTTTTTTTGCATCCTTTAAAAAAATTTATCTTTTATTTTTTTTTCCACTCTAAAGTAAGCAATAAAACGAAACTATTTAAAGATATTTTAATGCTTAGTTTTGTTGATAAGGAATTACTATATGTTAAAGAGTAATTTACTAATTATCTTATTTTGATTATAAGTTTCTATTTCAAATGGTTATAGGATTATGTATCTATTGGAAAAATCTTTACATATTTTGTGTGTAATTGTTTCATAAATTTTATTAGTTAATTCCGCCATGCATTCTTTTGTTAATTACCTAATTCTATTCAAGCTAAAGTTTCATTTTGAATATAACATTGTTAGTTAAATATTGCTAACTTTTTTCTAACAAAATTTCGCGTTTCAGAATGTGAGAAAGCTTATAAAAACTGCCAATAATAATAGGATTGATAAGTTTAATAATATTATTGATAAATTTCATAGAATATTATTGATTAAACAAACAATTGGATTCATAAAACAAACAATAGGATTGATAAACAAAAAAATAATTATTTTAAAAATATAAGAGCATAAGAAGAAACTAAATTTTGTTGATAAACTAAATGAGATTGATGCGTTAAGATTATAATATCTGTTTTTGAAGAACTGAACAAGAATTTCCAAATATCTTTCTATTTTATTATATAGTTTCAACATGCAAGAAAAATATTTTTGCCTCATCAAGTTTTTTTATTCTAATAAATAATTACTGTTATTCCATTTTGTCGCTTGATTTAACTGTTACAGATTACAATAGTAAGTTTTCTACAACAATGCGGGACTCTAACTTTATTTTGTCATACTGGATAATTATTATAGATAAAAAAGGTAAAGTTATTTGAAATTATGTTCCTATTTTTTTCTGAAGAAGTCATTCATGTTTTATAATTTGCAGTTACATATGTATATTCTGTTTCATTTTATAATCCTTCGCTGAATAATTGCACAACAATAACCGTAAAAATTATGAGGAAAAAAAGGATTTCAAATTGATAAAGTTCATTTGTTTACCGGTTCTAAATATTTTACTTATTTTAAAGAAAAAGATTTCTTTGCGACAAATTAAAGTATCAAATTAAATTTGATACGCACGCCTAGAAAATAAATTAAATAGAATTCTGGACTAGTTCGTCTTATGATAGGAACCAGCATAGCCAAGACAGTATTATAAGAGAGATGCAATATGCTGATTTCAAGAACGTAGACAGTAGTTTAAATAAATTAATAATTGTAATTAAATTCAGTTTCACAACTCATTTCTAAATAGGCTAATATCAACAAAAGAAGTATGAAGTTTCTTTTCTTCTTTGTGAAACATAATTCTAATTTGTGGAATATATTTAAGGGTAGTCAATTAACATTCGTTTTTTGCATATTGAGTTAAAGCAAACTTGATAAATATTTTTTTACGAAAAATAATACCTAAATAATATTTCTTCAAAATAGTTCATGAATAAACAGCAGTACAATGTTTTCCTATTTATATAGAGACAAAAATTTAAAGAAGAATTATTCTTCACAAACATGCTCTAAAGAAGTTATTAACTGCGTGTTAATATTGTATGGTTTTTACCATGAAATGTATAAATTTATAAAATGCATGTAATGTGAATTATAGACGTATTTTTGATATGTTTGTTTACATAAACCCTTGTCTTTAATTTATGCTAATATTTTATGCAAATAACTTGTAAAATAAATAAAGTATGATCATTTGCATAATAAAATATTTATCTGTGATATTTTAATTGATGTCTCATTCCATGTTATTTGATAAAATTTTATAAATAAAATCTGGTTATGTTTTTTTAGAAAATAAATTTTCTTAAATCTTGCACTTCTCTTTAAATACAGAAGAACAGAAACACCTCTTTAATCTGAGAAAATTAAAAGATCCTTGATGTCTAATTCTCTTTATTCTTGTGTCTCATGTTAATCTATGGTAATGCATGTGGATTTCTACTAAATTTATTAATTTAGTAGTTATTATTTTGCTTAATCAGCATTTTCTGAATTATAGGGTGAAACTACATTTCGAAACCTCTTCCGTTCCACGTAAAAACGCTTTTTTTAATGTTCAATATGTTAATTTCATAATTGTTGCGAGTCTGTCAAATTTATTCATGATGATAAGGTTCAGTTCTGACTCTCTTTTCATCAGCGCCAGCAATGTTGATAATGAAATCGAAGCAAATTGTTAATATTTTTCTTTATTTCCAATGGCTGGAAAAAAGAACAAGGAACAATAAAAAAGAAAGCAGTTTTCATTAACGGCGATAGATTAAAAAGAAATGCGCCACTAGGCGGCGTCAATCCCATGTTTGGCTTGGCGCTACGCAGGCGGCGAATATTTGTTACAATCTTTATTCTGATTTGTTCATTCTGCTGACTCGTACAACGATGGAGAACGAAACAGTCCTGTAAAACTGAGCCAGAAATCACATTTTAAGAAAGCAGAGAAAGAAATGATTTTAAATTGTTATCCATTTTTAGCATAATTTTAGGGCCAGGATACAGGCCCGTAGCCGGGGGGGGCTGACAAATCCCCCCCCCCGAAATTCTGGGATTCAAACTTTTTAGTCTTTCTTTGAGCCTCTCAGTAAAAAGAAAAACAAAAACTGTCGAATCAAACCTTTTCCCAGTACACCACCTTAGCTAGTGCATCATCTTCACTTGATCTTGTGGCAGGGCCGGATTAACCTATAGGCAAACTAGGCACGCGCCTAGGGCCTACGAAATTCAGGGGCTACGAAAAACTTGGGAGAAAAAAAATTGTTGACAAAAATAATTTAGCTTTAAAAACAACAAGTGTATTTTGCACAAAATTATGAAGATACAAATAAAAATATAATATTTTTCGGTAATAAATTATTTTGCAGAATCTTATGATCTAATATATTACTTTTTTG